ATATATAGATATATAGATATATAGATATATATGTATATATATATATATATGCTATGTGTAATAGTTACTGTACCATTAATCGTGATTCAAGAAGTCACCAATGCTTTCAGTAGATGCTTCCTGTTAATTTAAATACATATTTCCAAAGACAACTGATAAAAGCCTTTAATTAAAGGCTAAATTAATCACTGTAACCAGCATAACAGGAGTATCTCAAAGAATTGTCTTTGTTGCCTACAATAGCCAATAAGCATTTTACTTTTTGTTTTACCTGCTCTGGAATCAAAAGAGGGAGAAGCTGATTGGTTAATATGGATAAAATTGACAATCTTTCGGAATAATTTAATCACCAAGTCCTCAAAATCTGAGCTAGATATTGAAAATCTATTGGCTACCAAAGCCCCTATTAAGCTTCATGCTCACACAGTACTCACAAAGAATGCTGTTATTTGAATGTGTGTTGTTTTATTTTTTTAATACATGCCCAAGAGCTAAGGAGCTGGTTTGTTTCAGTGCCCAGTTATGGAAGTGACATAAATAAACTGAGTTTAGTTATAATAGTCTGTAACAGTGAACAATTACCCAAAGTTAGTAAATACCAAGCATCATGCTATTCACAAAGATTTATAAGAACCAAATAGGTACACAAGTTTTATTACACATACATATACTGTTAATTTGTATTAGAGAAGAATATCTTACTTCATACATTGATTTAATGTAATTCTGTGTTTTAAAGGAAATCTGTGAATATGTAGCCTGCTACGTCTGACCTGCTTTGGATTAGTTAGTTGCTTAGCTATCATACTAATCTGACTGATAATTCCTGGTGTGCATATTTTTGCGGGTCAGTGTCCTGGATAATACTGAAGCGATTGGATCAACATGACAGTTAATTACTAACATTATCCTATGGAGGTCAGCTATCGTAGCCAATGCATTGTTCTCAGCACAGGTCCACTTTAAACCTGCTTGGCTTTTCTGGTCTTTTCAAGGAAACAAGTTGATCTGATTCCTAGAATGTAGGAGGTCTGGTTCAACTTACCATCGAAGCCTTCACGTGCAATGTGTCATGTAGTATGGCGCTTGTGTCCCAGTTCTTCACTTTGAGATAACGAGGACACTTGGAAGGACTTCCATTCACCTGGTTCTTTGCAGGGGACTGTCTACCCGAGGCTGAAACCTGGAAATGAGAGAGATTTAGCATGCCAGTACCTAAGGGCTGGGAGACAAATGAGCAAAATAAGCCAGGCAAAGAGATTTTAAGTTGTATATATCTAGTTGGCAGGGTGCAGGCATGACATCAAATCACAAATAAATTATCTTCTAGAAAACGACCCACATTAATTCATAATTAACCAACAAGCTTGGAACCGAACAGCAATCATATAAACATTTCTGAGAGATCGCTTCCTAATTATTTCCTTAAAGCCTGCACAAAATTACTTATTGATAAAACAAAAAAATGCATAGATTCTGTCTGCTCCAGTTTTGATAAATACCCTTAATTTTTTTTTTATGAGGGACATACTGTATATAGGGCCACAAAGCTAACAGTAGGATAAGGATTTTTTTAAAAAGGTTAAAGTTATTTCCTGTTGAGTCCCATGAGATTTGAAAATTACACGCACAAGACTGAATAAAAGTGAAAGATTTTTAAGCTATTTCAAATGCTGATTAAATCACTTACAATGGATGCTGCTGCTTAATGTTTAAGTGCCCATTCACACAATGGAGTATTGGGAATTCTCTTGAAATGCGAACAAAAGTGACGCATGTTCACGAAACACACATCGAACGTGAAATGCGCTCGCGGTGCCATTATTGTCAATGGTACCCCAGACGCAGCTGTGCAAATGTGCTTTTTTCCTGCCGATGGAACACACAAACACCTGGGTAAAACATGGAACGCATGTCACAAAATTTGCTACCTGCATGACTTCCCGTGTTGGGTGCATGTTTGGCAGCCATTAAAATCCATGGGGATGCGTGGGAAAGAAACACCCGTAAATGTGCTGGAATGCACGTCACCGCGATGCGAATACCAATGTGTGGAAGGATAGTAAAAGTTTTAGCTTCCTGCAGAATCATCTCGTCCACTGAGCACTGACCCTGATATCCTGTTTTAGGGAACCACCCTTGTGTGTGCTAGTAAATGGTGTGTGTCTCCACAAACACACAGGCACAGCAAGGCAAGCCACTACCCTGCTACCCTCTTCTCTTTCCTCCCTTCTCCCAATTCCAAGCTAGTAGATGGATGACTGCTGGAGACTGCTCTGCCCCTTGTAGTCATGTCCTGGACTGGAAGTTCAGGGTAGATGAGCTGAGAGAGTTGGAGCTGTTTGGAAACACGATGACTGTAAGTGCTTGGGCAAAAATGTAAAGAAATACTTTGCTGGGCAACATGCAGTATATTTATTTGATTTGGATTCACTATTGTAAAAATGTTTACTATTACTTTAAAACATGGACTGGTAAGTAGGTGTTTTTATAGCTTATTTATTAGAACCATCTATGTAATTTCTCTGACATTCTTAACTCTATCATGTACATCAAGACAGACAAAGAGACAGACATGATGATGCAAAGTCCTCCTAGAACCCCCAGCAGTCTGGAACTTTTTAGTGAGCACGTACCAGTCCACTATACTCCAAAACCTCATATGTGAAAAATCTCCTAACAACATTCAAAAATATGTAAGTATATACTCCCAGAAATAGTCAAACAATGTAGACATTACTTTTTATAGCTTGCTGTGTGTGAGCAGTTGGCGTTTCTTTTCTTTTTTGGAGGGTGAATTAGTGGGTGTTGGGAAATATCACCCCCATTATACAATCTTAATTGTAAATCTTCTTTCTTGATAATCTAGATTCTATGTACATATCTGTGAATGATATTAAACTGTTATACACATTAAGCAATTTAGGAAAATAGTGGTTGGTTACAGTAGCCTTTTAAATTCAGTCAAAGGCACTCTTAGTTTACTCCTCATTCAATCTATTCACATAACCTGCTGTGAACCTAAAAAAAAATGCTTGATAGAAGATAACACAAAATGGGACCATCATAGCAGAGATTGAGAATTCAGTCAGCTTCAAGGGGGATGGGCAGTTCAATGTGGATCAGCAGCAAGCTGGAGGGGAAATCCTGCATTTATGTCAGAAATCTATGTTAAAAGCAGATTAATGGGAATGTGTGTGTGGGGGGTGGCACTGCAGACATTAGCAAAATGGATTAGAATGACCCTGAAGACTAATGGGAGAGAAATACCAGCTAAATATGGCAGGGGAATCCCATAATCTGCATGTGCAGAGATAGCTGTAGGAAATCCCAGGCACCCCTGGGAAACCTTTCTGTTCCACGTCTCGCTTAATTTCTGCGCTATTTTAGGCCATGCAATGAACTTTGTGTGTGTGTAGTTCTAAAATAGTAAACCCAATCATGCAAACTAACTGATAGAATGTAACATATTAGTAGAAATAAGGTTCTATTTGCTAAGCTTAGCACATGTTATTTGCCATTGAGATCTTCATTTTCAGCCATGTGTCTGTAATTTTATTGGCTCTCACTGCTGAACGCAGCGGTCATTATGGCAAAAAGCCTGTTTCCCATCACATGATTATTCAACATGGAAACAGGGTCAGCTTATTTACTAAAATTCACTTTTCAAAGTTAACAGCCTCTACTCCTTTAGTAAATCAACCCCCATAGCCTTGCATTATAAGTAGAAGCAGTAAAGCTGTGCTGCATTGGAATGGAAGAAGCACATCCTGCATGTGTAGTGAATGGGGCACCACAGTTGCTTAGTGGTTAGCACTTCTGCCTCACAGCACTGGGGGTCCTCACTTCAAATCCTGGTCAGGACACTATCTGCAAGGAGTTTCCATGTTCTCCCTGTGTTCCCTCTCTCACTCAAATTACACGCTGATAGGTTAAATGACTCCTGTCTACATTGGCCCTGTATGTGTCTGCTATAGGGACCTTAGATTGTAAGCTCCAGGGACTGATGTAAAGCGCTCTGTAAATTGTTGACGCTATATAAATACCTGTAGATAATATACAAATATGGCTGCCTCAATTACCAACTATATATAAAAACACATTTTTACAGATATTAACATGCATTGATGAGATTATTTACAGTTTCAGCGTATTTACTAATGCTCACTTTATAAAGTAAAAAGTCTCTGCTAATTTTGTAAATCAACCCCAAATGACTCATGGTTACTCCCACAGCCCTCCCTTTAATGAGCAGACTGCCCCAGATGTTGCCTCAGATGGCATCTCTTTGGGTCACGTGGACAGTCAGAGTGGCATGTTTGTTGTATAGCGGCCGCTCTGCTGCACAATGCCACCCCTTTCTGGCCAGAGCATCCCAGGTTGCTAAGAGCTGGGTGGGGAGATGTGCAAGGACCATACACATCTTCCTGCCCAGCTCTTAGCAGCTCGGGATGCTCTAACCGGCTTCCTGCCCAGCTGCTACCAACCAGTGACATCACTGGTTGCCACTGGTTGCCAGGAGCTGTGCGGAATGCCGGCCAGAGCATCCCAGGTCTGCAGAGGGAGGCATAACTGCACCACCACCATACTGCACTTCCCGAAGTTGGTGTCACTGTCATACCCCCTCTTCCCCCCCACCCCCCGCCTCAAGCAGCAAAAAGCCTAGGGACACCACTGATTACACCAGTGCAATGCATTAAGCTGTGTTGGAAGACATCCTATATGCACTGCCCTGGATTTTTCTATTTAAAAAGAAATTCCACCTTTTTATGAAAAATAATAAATGCATACAATAATTAAAAAAATAAAATTTAAGAATTGCAACTGCGATTAGTGCAATGCTCTGGCTCTTGCAGACTCTTCCTGATGTCTGTGTCTGGACCTCCATGTCTGGACCTCGGTACAGACATTTAGTAACATGGACAGGAGGAAGTGTGAATGGACTACAGGTGTGATGATGTCACAGCACTTGTATACCATTGAGAACTAAAAGTCCCTCCGTTGCGGAGGGTGATAGGACCAAATAAAAAAATAATAAACAAGCCTGCGAGGAGAAGAACCCCACAATTCAGATAATGGTGGGGGTAGCATGGGAGATTTGATGAGGGGTGTGGGATCTGATCATGTTTGATGTTACAGCCTAAATATGGGTATAACATGAAACAAGGTAAGAAAGGTAAACAGGCTTTTAGAGTGTAAAAATGCATACAAAATGCACATTATGTGAGCAATTTAAATCAGTCATTTTACAAATGCAAAAATGTCCTAATGAAAAACTTTATAATAACTTTTTGTTTCTTTATTCTCTAATCTAATCCATCTCCAAAACTCCCCTGTAGACTGTACTAATCAGTATAGTCTATACCATTTATGTACTGTATTTTTAGAGATTAATCTAAATAGGTTTATTTTGACACATCTCCGAGGCATACTATGGTTTTATACATCAATAGTGTGACGCGAAGCTCGGAAAATCCTGGCAGATTGGGCTTTTAGTCAATACTCTATGACAATTTACCCTCGGGATGGCCGCACTGAATAATTAATACATGACAAATCCAGAGATTGTAAAGGCACATCATCTGACAATCCGATCTAATATGACAAGCTGGTAGGGGTGATATGCTAAGACAATAGGCTGGCCTCAACAGCAAAGCTTTGACGTACCTGATCACATTCCAGGTATGGATTGTTTAGCACCACGGGCATGTTGTTGTTATTCCTCCATACATCATTTAAGACTGGGTTGTTCCCCGCTGCTTTCTGCAGTTTGCTAAAAGAGAAACATATTGTACATAAGCCAGCTGAATTTGTATTTATTGTGAAACAGGCAATTTTCATACTTACCACTGCTGGATACATATACCTGAAAAACAAAACTGCTCTGCAAGACATTTTAAATTTAGGTCTTTAGGAATATTGCATTCAATGAATAAGTGCACTCCCAGATCAGTTATTCTTAGTGGGGCCCTCTCCCCATGCGGATCATTTTCTACACAGGATACAATTATCATTGACGTGCACCTCTGGAGATCTTCTATGTGCTGTCTGCCTTGAGCTGGACAGCCTTTCTTACAAACTATTTCCAGTTAGCCAGTATCCCTCCCCATGTGCTTGTCTGGCGCCTATCCCGTTTAGGTAATTAGAAGGCCCTTATGTAGTCCATCAACCTGTTGACAGACATGTATTGAAGTGAAGGCACACTCAGACCCTCTATTGGGGTGTATTCACTAAGCTATTCACTTCAGCCTGGTACGGCTGAAATCAGCCGTACATCGGGTGGCTTCACGTGGCTTCGGGCATGTTCGGCCGACCCGAAGTGCAGGAGGAGTTCGACTCAGCCGATCCAACATCTGGATCGCCTAAGCCGAACCTCCGGCAGGCTACTCGCTGCTGTTCGGTCTATTCTTATAGATGTCGAACAGCAGTGAGTGAATAGCCAAATGCCGCCGAGAAGCTCTGAGGGACCGAGCAGAACAGAAAAATAGTTAAAAAAGTAAAAAATAAGTAAATAGAAAACGATTGTGCGGAGCTAGCAATGACAGCTATGACAGCCTGGGAGAGTTTGCTGTCTGGAGATCAGTGTCCCTGGTTAGCTGGTAACCAGGGACGCTGATCTCTCTGCAAGTGACCGGAGCCAGCCGTAAGATCACAGCTGGCTCCGCCCAGCTGTCAGAAGCAGGCTCGGCCAGCTTCGGCTTTCAGCGCGGCTCAGCCGAGCCAAGTCATATGCCTTCGGCTCGATTGAGCCGCTCGGCTAAGTTCGGGAGCTGTATGGGCTATTGTGCATAGCCCGTACAGCAGCACTTCGGTTCTACTGAACCGAAGGTGTCCTGGGGCTGAAGCCAGCAGAAGGATCGGCCGAAGCTGCGGGCTAGATGTTTCGGCTGCTTTGTGAATAGACCCCTCAGGAGTGGGAAGAGTATCTAGTGACTGAGAACATTTTTGAAGAAAGTCTACATGGTGGCAGACAGGATAGGCAGTGAAGATCTCCAGAGGAAACTGGCAAAGGTATGTATTTAACATTTAGCATGGTGAAGCTTGCAAAAGATAAGTGGACTTATTATTTTAGGGAAACTCAATACATTTTTCATTCTGCAGATGTAGGGAGATTAAAACAACAGTAGGTTACACTTATGTTTATGTGGCCTTTTACCACATTCCCTGAGATAAATATGTCTCTCCCTGCTGCCCAGCACACTCCTGGGCCACCACACTCTACTCTGCAGCATTTACATTGAAGTTGTCCTCACAAAGTCTATAGGGATTTCCCAAGCTCCCAGCATACTGCAGAGCAAAGGGAAGAGGTGGGGAGTATGTCAAACAATGGGGAAGGCATCTAGTAAGGAAAACCACAAAAGTAGTCTTACCCATTATGCTTGCCTCCACACTTCTGCAGTTGTTGTTATTTTTAAGGCGACCTGGTGGCCACCTGAAGGAAATATAAGGGAATGGTGCCTTAAAAAAAAAATTCTACTGTCCCACTGCCCATGCAGTTGTTTCACTGCTTTGAAAAAATACCCCTGGCTAAAGTATCTTCTATATTTGACACTTCTGGGAGTGCTGGCTGTCTGGTCCCCCTCTGCGCTCTGTGATTTCGCACATTGACCTCAATGCCACTACTTCATCCTGTATTGACACATGTAAAGCTCGGTGGTGGGGGCATTGGGAAAGGTAAGTATTAAAGGACTTCTCCAACAACACTTTTTAAAAAATTGAAATGTAAAAGTGGTGACTGGGTCACTTTGAAGAAAATCTCCACTATAATGAATTACTGTGCCACCTACAGTTGGAGTTAATACAGAATACATCAGAGTCACACTCTCAGTTTAAAGAATGAAAAATTAAATGTTTGCAATATAGAGAAATTCTTCCTTTCCCCCAGCGATTTTGTTTATTTTCTGTGTGTACATGTGTACACACTCTTATATGCCATTAATGGGCCGGGTGCCAAAGAGGATGTAACTTCTGTGCACATGCGCCAGAGTTACATCATCAGTGGCTAGCCAACGGCTGAAGAGGATGCCTGGGAAGCCAGAAGTGTTGGCAGAAGAGATGTCAGCGGCAGGGGACCGAAGATGGATCGGACAATGCTGGAGAAGAGCACACTTGTAAGGCAACTGTGCTCTAATTTGCAAGTTTGCTGTGCAAGCCAATCACACAGCGGTTTATTTTCACTTGAAATGTTTTTCTTAACAGATAGACAATAGGCACAGAATTATTACTTTGTCCGAGCCTACCTCAAAGCCCAACTAGAGCTCAAACGTTTTTTAAACTAAGTTTTGGATAGACTTAGGAGGAGTAAATACTCCTGGAAAGTGCTATAGCTGTCCATGAACCTAATTTAGAAATGTTACCTCATGTCCTGTCCCTTAATATAAACTTGACACGGTCATAACTTTTCTGTGGAAAAAAGTGTTGCAGTCTTTGGGGTTGATCTACTACTGTTTCTTAGCTTAGTGAATGTGGTGAAAATTCACTTCACAAAGAATATCCAATTATGTGCAAGGAAAATTAAAAAAAACAGTATTTTTGTTTGCACATGATTGGATGATGGAAGTCAGCAGAACTTCACCTCACACATCTATTTATGCACTACTGTGGTGTGAAGTGAGAACATCTGTGACATGTCATCAATGTCTTCACTTCACCTTCTGAATCAAAATCTATTTATTCAATTTGTTTTCATTCCAGCCCATTTATAAACAAGTCCATTCTTAGATTCAGACTCAGAATCTTAGAAACAATAGTTAAAGAAAAACTCCAGAAATGAAAAAACTTACCTTGCAGTGCGGTTTAGTGGTTAAGTTCTCGTTTTGTCTAGGGGGTCAAATAGGGTAGATATACCCACCTGATCCTTGGTCCCACTCACTTCTCTCCCTCTCCTCTCTGGCGTTGAAATGTCCCTTGGGGTCCTTAAGTGTAATGCAAGTCAATGGACCTGCATTAGATCTAATGACGTCAGTGGTCTTTAGACCTTTGCTGGAGCAACCGAGGGTCAGGTAAGTATATCTGCTTTATTTGACCCCCTTGACAAAATGAGCATCTAACTGCTACCCCACTACTGTTTTTTCAAATCTCTGAAGTTCTTCTTTAAGTGTCTACAGTACACAGTCATTGCTTTAAAGCAGGGATGGCAAAACTGCGGCCCTCCAGCTGTGATGGAACTACGAATCCCATGAGGCTTTGCAAGATTGTCACAGCCACAGACATGACTCCCAGAGAGAGATGCTTCATGGGATTTGTAGTTTCACCACAGCTGGAGGGCCGGAGTTTGGCCATGCCTGCTTTAAAGCATATCTAAACCAAAAGTAAAACCTTAATATACTGCAGCTTACCACTCATTAGATATGGCGGCTGATTAGTTTTCTTTTTTCAAGTTTTTCCCTTTATTTTCTGCCAACAACACATTCAAGTCCTAGGATGACAATGCTCATTCACCCTTCTCTATCAGGAGAAACAAGACAGGACCACAAAACCCAATCTTTCTTCATAACAGATGTAAAAAATCCTTTCAATTGTATATTTAAAAGACCAAAATAAGAGACGTTCATTGTTAGGGTTTACATATGCTTTATTCACCAGGGAACGGTTGTGCTTTTTTCATGCTACCTGCATTTAATGGTTAGCTTGAAATTGCACACACTCTTTTTCTATTACACCTTGCAGTGCCGCAAAGTGAAATTAAAGGGCAATTTCCCCAAAATCTGCAATTTTGTGGCAAAGTTACCTTCAAAGAAATGTCAGGTTGGAGCTGTACTAAAAAGGAAACCTAACCTGCAAATGTTTAGTTCCCTGGCTATGATGCCAACTCTATAATTCAATAATTTGAATCACTGACCAGAACAAGCAGGTAACTAGAATTTTTAGAAGGTAAGCAATGGTACCTCCCGTGTTACTCCTAGTAAAGGTTTACTGTGGGATGAGACATCTCAGGAACAAAGAAAATCAAAACTCTGCAAAGCATAAAAATATCCTGTGTACAACACATTACACAGAACACCAATACCAATTGTACACAATATGAGGAAAATCAATACAACATTTTCACTTCACTGTAACAACCACACATCTACAGTAAAAAAATAGTAACCCCATTCAGCTCAGTCATCATCAAACCATAATTTACCACTATATAATAATGATGAAATAAACTTCTGTAAGAGGCCAGTATCCATTCCAGACCCACTTGATAAAATATTCTCACCAAGTTATATTATGTTAAAAGCTAAAGTGATGTTAGCTTTGCCTTTTTCACACAGTGAAAAAAATTATTGTTAGATTAGGTATTTATACTGCGGGAAACATTTCAGAGATAAATAACACATAGATGACATCTTCAAAGATTATTATTACCCAGGGCTGTTTGCCAGAGTGTCCCAAGTTCCTAAGAGCTCTTAGCAACATGTGACTCTCTGTCCAGGCTCCTGCCCAGCTGCTGGCAACTAGTGCCATCAGTGAGCTGGGCGGGATGCCAGACAGGGGTATGGTGCACCCCCTCTTCTCCCCGTATTTGTGCCACCACCCTCCCAGTAACATGCATTGCCAGCACCCTCCCCCAGGCCTCAGTCAGCAAAAGGTGTAGGGACGCCAGTTTTAATACTTAATTCTATTCCCTCTTTAATGAATCAGGTGCTTTAACACATGTTGCATTTAGGTTGCCCAGTAGTTTTAAATAAGCTACCTACAAGCCACAATGCATATTTAATGGACATGCACCCCTTTTTTAATGCATTTCAAGACAATGCATATCTAATTTACTGTGTGTGTTTTACTTTATTTTGTGCCATTTCCTTTGTGCACAGGCAAACTGTGGGACACAATATTCTTGATTTACTAAAGGAGAAAATAATTACTTAGCTTAGGGGATAAAATGAAGCTGCATTTACTAGTCATCCAGTCATGTGCCAAGAAAGTCTTGTTTCTCCTGGTCAACAATTTTGCTTCATTTCACCCAAACAATAATTTTAATTTAGAATTTCTGCATAGAACATTTTTTTATTTTAGGCTGATATTTCAGTTTTGGGTGCCCATGATTAGAGTGAATTGGTCAGAATTCCCAGCAGTAATTTGCACCCATCACAACACAGACAACAACACAACACCAGACACAAAAGTATAAGTATATTTCTCAATAGCCACAAAGGATATAAATCCACTTTATGTGCATTAAATGCCTTTGCAAATCGGATATTGCCCTGTAAACATGGCAATGACATAAACACTGTAACCTGGGCATATAGTCTGTACAGAGAGCAGAGCTGTGGGAGGGACCTGGCAGGCCCAACCCACTACAGACTGCCTGAAGAACAGTACAGGAAATGGGCGGTTACAAGTAATGTCACCCTGCACAAGGAGAAAGAGCAGCTGCATAGGCAAAATATTTCTCACTGGCTTATTTCACAGATCTGGAAAAAAAGGTACAATGAATACACTTGCCTCTTGTACTTCGACAATTTTTGTGTATCTCAAACTTCAACTTTAAAGGGTTAATCATACCCTTTATTTGATTTGTTACACTACTGTGGTTAACAATCAAATCTTTCATGCCCTCCACAGAAGTCTGCAGCTTTCTCCTGGAGATCAGAGCAGCTGTAAACAGAGGACTTCCATTAACACCCTCCCACCATTTGATACTTGTCAGGAGGATGTTAATTTACAGCAGTAGTTTGGAATGAGGTTTACAGAGCAGAGGAGCTGAAACTCAGATTACACAAGCAGCTGAATGAATCAGAATGTTGTGTATCTCTCTGCACAAACTTAAATCTAGAGAGAAAGAGTCAAAAAGCAAACAGCGACTGCTGGGCTTTCTCTTTAGAAAACCTATAAACATAATCATTTATCACAAATCACAAATTAAAATTGACCCAAAAAGAAATAGGGTTAATTCGCACCAATGTTAAATGCACATTACTGCAATGCATGATAACACACTGTAAATGTGCGTCAAGCTGTTCTGACAAAAATGGCTCACTGTATTGAACTCCAAACAAGCTTTTTTGACGTAGGTATATGCATTGCTATACGCTGCCTTATAAGCGATCCTGGTGCTGTATAAACCAGTCATTTTAAATATACTGTTGTATGTGTGTTTTGCAGAAATTGTTCAGCAAGTCTCAGTGAAGACATGCCTTTTGCATAAAGCAGGCAAGAAAAAACAAAAAAAAAACTGCAGCTTCAAAACAATATCCAGCATTGATTTTGACTCCGTTTAAATACTGTATTAAAAAATTGTTCTGGCAGCTTATCATATGTGATTATAGAGGCTTAGCAAACGAAGCATTAGTTTCATCAAGGCAGATTAATGTTCAGGGGATAATCAAAGGGTGAATTATACCTTTATTGGATAAACGATGCTTGTTAGTAAAAATGATTCAAGATAAGGAGATCTCTGATGCTTCCCCGAGGCAACAATATACTAGGCTCAATGGACTTGTGTCTTTTTTCAATGTGACTAACTATCTAACTATTTACAGGTAAGATGTGGCCATTGTTTGGAACTTTCTAGAAATGTTTCAGCAATACCAGAATTTACATCCAGTTGCCAGGTCTTTATCGGAATTAGTGTTATCTCCAGCATTCTAGCTGCATGGGTGACTTTAACTTCTGAGTAAAGCATGCACTACAGACAATGGCCACTTGCAGATACTGCTGCTACAGGCAACTCAAGACAGGTGGAGGATCTCCTAGACTCCTCCTCAGCTCTTTTATGTCATATGACACAACTGAGAGAAAGCCCAGAAGGAAGGTCATCCTCTGGCTCTCTACAAGTTGGACTTGCAGAGAGCCCCTTTGAGCTCAACACTGTTGAGCTCTTTGCTGGGGAGGGAACGGGGGTCACGGGCTGACTTTTCAGCTGTGGGTGGCTCTTATGAAGAGAAGCTTTCAACTGGGGTGGGGGGAATGCCTTTGCTGGGATGGGGGGGGGGGGGGGGTTCTGAGGGAGGCGCTCTCTGTTGGTGAGCTGGGTTGCTGTAAGGTTGAGTTGTTATGAAAAGGAGCTCTACACTAAGATTGGGAAGTACTGCAAGCAGGTCTCTTATAAACAGAAGTTGCCTACTGGGGTCCGGGGATTGATGAGTAGGGTGACTCCGCTGTGGGGGAGGTTCTGTGTATTTTATATTTTCCTTTTTATTTTATTGTAGACTCTGGACCTATCCTTTAAGTGCCTTCCACTTTTAGCATACTTTGGCCACTCCCACCATTAGGTACATTTCCCCTTCCTCCCCACCAGCTGTCCGGCCCACATTCTCAAGAATTTAGATTTTCTAAAGTTCCCAGGTATGGATGTGACTCCTACAACAATTGCCTGAACCAGCAAATGTGACAGGGAAAAAAAGGTCTTGTTTGTGCAGAAACTAGCTGCAACGCGCTTTGTGACTCCCATTGACCATGTGGTAGATCTTTCATTGCACTTATCAAGAAACAATACATAGCTCTAAGTAGCTCTAGCTGCAATGACTTCATGACAAGCAACAAGTCCTGAATCTACAACCCCAATTACCAAAGAGTTGGGACGCTGTGTAAAATCTCCAAAATACAGAATGCAATGATTTGTAAATCTCATAAATTCATATTTTATTCACAATAGAAAATATAAAACATATCAAATGTTTAAACTGAGAAAATTTACCGTTGTAAGAAAAAAATAAGGTCATTTTGAAATTGATGACAACAAAAAAGTTGAGACAGGGCCATGTTTACCAAGGTGCACCCTTCACTTTTCTTTCAACAACACTCGGACTGGGAACTGAGGAGACTAGTTGCTGGAGTTTTGGGAGATGAATGTTGTCCCATTCTTGCCTGATATATGATTCTAACTGTTCAACGGTGAAAGGTCTGGACTGCAGGCAGGCCAGTTAAGCACCCAGACTCTTCTATTAGGAAACAAAGCCATGCTGTTATCATAGATGCAAAGGGAGTACATAGGGGTTGTACATGCCTTCTAATATTTTGTCATTTAGATTTGGTCATTTAGATTTATATAGCGCCATTATTCAGATCTTCACTAAGTGGAGCCATTCAGATAATCCTTCTCTCCTTCTAGTCTAAACTCCCTGACACTATTGGTGCGTTGTTATTGTGGTTGACATTTTTCTTGCCTCTTATCAAAATGAGACTAAGTCGAGTAAATGGATACCAAATATGTTAGAACTTAAAATTGCATGCCCCCGCAAGAGACTGACAAACTATGATACCCAAAGTTGTCCATGGGCAACACTTTTAAAACCTTTTCGGCTTATCAGTTTAGAGTTAATATTGGCTCCGGAATTACTCCCGCAACTCCTGCATGCACGGCAATACCTAATATGCATAATAATGCTGCAAAAATAAGGACTTTTAAGGTATCAAAAACACAGCTGATATAGCACAGAAGTAGGTTAAGATTACATCTTTATTTTATACAAAAATATAAAAAGAACCTTTGACACTGTAAGAGCCTTCACAGTCACCTTTCTGTGCTTAGACAGCTTGAGGGCAAATGCAGTGGTGGACCTAAGGAACACAGGGCCCTGGTGCAAGATTTTTTTGGGCCCCCCCCCAAAAAAAACCCCCCACAAACACAGCGCTCTCCTCCCGCAACGCTCAGCTGGCTGTCACACTTTCTCTCCACCCCGCTGGGACACAGAGCAGCGGGGAGGAAAGAAAGCAGGGATGCGTTGCTGTATCGGCAGAAAAATTGCACTTTCGGCATTTCGCCAAAAGTGCCATTTCCGGCCGATATGTTTTGGCGGCCGATATATCGGTGCGTCCCTAATATTTACAGCAATGCAGAATGGCAAAGGCTATAGAGAACTACACATCCCAGCAATACTTTATATAACAATAGCTTTTCTGTATAAAGTACTGCTGAGATTTGTATTCCTCTATGGAGGATGCCATTTTGCATTGCTGCAACAGTACTTTATACAACATTAGGCTACAAATAACCATTATTTTAATTATTTATTTACCCTTACCTCTTCTGTCTTCAGCTGTTTCCTGTGTGTGTTCTGTTTGCTGGGTCCTCACTGCCAGAGGCGGCTCTAGACTTTGTGAGGCCTAAGGCGAAACTTTAACATGAGGCCCCATCTTACATATGCACGTATACATACACTCATATGTACACACACACATACGTACAAAAATGCAAAGTCATTTACTCATGCATGCACACACTCATATACCCCGTTATTTATAGTACAGGTTTAAGAAGTCAGAACAACTCTGGAGATCTTCTTAAAAATAGCAGATGTTCTTAAATATTAGGATGTATGTTAAAGCATTTTAGATCATTATTACACTTAAATAAATGGGGACAGGTTAATTTTTATTCTCTATAGATTGAAGACACATCTCTCTTAACCTTCCTGGCGGTATTCCCGAGTCTGGCTCGGGGTTAACTTTCAGTACCAGGAGCGGTAACCCCGAGCCAGACTCGGGAATG